GTGTAAGAAGCTACTAGCACACACATACACCATCAGCTTTAGATTGACGGCATGGGACAGTAGGCGAAGCATAGTCACCTACGCGGTCGGATGAAGTCGCTATCACATGTTCATGATGATACATGATGATGATGGATGATACATTCTCTATTCTTGGGAAAGGGACCACCTTGTCCAAAAACGGTGTCTTCTCCTCTATAGGATAAAACCTTCAAAGGCAGTTGGCATGATAAATCCCTGAAGACGAGTAAGGATCAATACGCCTGGCAGGGCGGAATTCCGCGCCCCTGAGAAGGCGCGCTCCTTCCAAGGGCCCTATCAAGCTACAACATACCGACCCGAACGCCCACCACGCCCGCCCGCCCACAAATGGACGACCGTTCCTTGACGCTCGTATTGTTTATTTGCTAAATATGAATCGAATGGATTGATATGAAGCGGCCGCGGTGCTGCATGGATATATGAGTACACACATGCAGATAGTATCTTCGGTAGCGGTTATTGGCAAGATGCCTACGGGAAACTCGTCCGAAATTGATTTTTAAGTCATTAGAACAAGGCTTTTTCTTCGCAGGATTTTGACCGTTTCACTCCGTTCTTTCGCCATTTCCCCACTATATAGCGCCCTGCTAGCATTTTAGGCCGAGTACCAAATTATCGTGCCAACTGCCTTCAACTACTGCATACAATAAGTAAAGGAAGGCAAACTGACCTTCATGAGTGAAACTGCTCTCTGGAGCGTAAGCGGCGGATGCTCGGCCTCGTCACTCAATGTCACATGCCCAATCTGTAAATATCAGCGTTGAATAATGAACAGCAAGATCTAAATATTATACTGCTAAAAAGCAGACAACTGCAAATCGAGTATATGTTGTGTGCATGTTGTGTATGTTATGCTGTGAAAATGGAGCCATGTTACATTTTATAAACCGACCAGACTTATGGCTAGAACTCTGCGAGTTGGAAAGAAGGGATAGGGTCATTCAGCGTAACCCAGCGAAATTAAGACAGAAAATCCAACCTGGCAATCCAAAAAGGGAATCATCATTGGTTCAGCTGCACCACTTGCCGAGTAGGCAATGCGTTCTACGCACCCGATAGGATCGTAGCTGAACACCGCTCCTTTGCCTGAAAAAGTGAACCAATTTTCAGAATAGAAGAACATGCTACTACTAGCGCAATTACCGTTCTCATCTATTCCAGCCAAAATGGCACCCGTATAGTAAGGGAAGAAGCGCCTGTAGTAGAGATTTCTTGCTAGAAGCTCCGCCATCAGATCCACACTCATATCAGTACGGTAGTCGAAACGATATTTATGAAGACGGGACTGAAGGAAATGACCTTAGAAATAAAGTTAGATTCGAAACAACAATCAAGTAATTGTGTTACCTGAAGTACTCGCTTAAGCTGCAAGACATCACCGTAAAAGCCCGATGTTGCCAAGATTATGGAA